CGGAGGGGGGGGGAGTTTGCCAGCAGAGAGGGCTATCCCTTGAGAGCGAAAGGCAGGGGGAGGTCTCCGGCAACGGGCATGATCCGGACGGGGACACCGGCGCTCGGACCTAATGGCAGGCCAAGAGGTGCTCCGGGCAGGGCAGGGCCTTTGGCCAGTTATTTTCGAAATTAAGAATCCATACAAACGATGAAGCTAACCCGAACTGGCCAAACTTTTTTTTCTCCGGCGCTGCCCCGTGTCGTTCCCCCGGTCTGCGCACGGCTCTGGAGCGAAGTCAGCCCCCTTCGGGGTCACGGAGCCCTCGCCGCCTTAGTCCCGCTAGGAGCCGCCGCCGCCGCCGCCGCGCTGCGCCGGGCGAGGGGACACCGGCTGTGCTGGGGCAGTCGCCTCAGGGCCCTCCTCGTCCCGTGGGCGGGGAGGTGTCGCCTCTTCTTTCTCATGGGCGTGGGGGCCGCGCTTCCTCACGAGAGACCAGCAAGCCCCCACCACCAGCAGCCCACGCGGCGGGCAAATCCTTCAGGGTTCAACCATCCCCAGCCCCACCGTCTCATGGACGAGGAAGCGGGAGGGAACCGCCAACGGCGACCGAGAGATGAGAGAGACGTCCCCGGCTCGCTCAGTCCCGTCAGCTCCTTTCCTGCCTCAGGGGAGACACAGGACGGCGGTGCCCTTGGGCATTGCTATGCGCGGAACAGCCGGCGCGAGGGTTCCCCTCCGGTTCCTCGGAGCCCAGAGGAAGGGAGTCTGCAAGGAGACCGCGCGCCGAAGAGGGCCGGCGGGCTGCAGGCGCGGCGAAGGTGCTGAACTTGGCGGGCTGCCTTCACTGCCCGGCGCATCGCTGCTTGGGGGCGAGCGGCGACCGGACCGACCACCTGGCCAAATGCTCCGGGGCACGCCTCGTTATGTCAGCCTCAGATTGCCCCCTCCCCGCCAATGCCCAATAGCTCTCTTCGCAGCTGCTGCTGCTGCTGCTCACCACGGCATGCAATCCCGCAAGGAAAGCAAGGGCATGCCCGCAAAGCCCGACTGCCAGCCGCTCCTTCTCCTCTTCTTCCTCGGGTGACCTTGCAAAATAAGGAAAGTCTCTTGGCGTCTACCCGATATCCGAGTCCTAGCGTCTCTAGAATAGTAATCCCAGCAGCTCGGGGGATGAGCCGTAAACTCCACGACCACCTTGGGACGGACGATCACGCCAAACGCGTGGTCTTCTGCCGCGGTGAGGAAGGCAATTCAGCCGCTCGCTGCACTGACCCCACGGCGATGGCCTCGAGCCCCAGCAGCGCAGACACCTCGAAGTGATCGGCTCATGGCTTCGGGCAAAGCAGCCGGAGTAAACCGGCGAGGGAGAGAGGGAGGGAGGGAGTCCGATGAGCTGGTTTCTCGCCTGAGCAATGAACGTCGTTCCGAGCTGCAGATCTAAGAGCACATGGGGAATCCGGATCCCGGCGTGGCGAGCCAAAGGAGGGCCGTTGGAGAGCGGGCGACGCAGGTCCACTCAAAGGAACCAGCGCTTGCAATATGTTTTGTAACCCGGAGTCTTCCAAGATCTGAGGGAGGCTTTGCAAACCAGAGGATTTGAGGCGTGCCTTAAGATGAGGAGGACAGGACGCTCCGTTCCTGGCACCAAGCCCAGATTTACTCCTTCGCTGTAGTTTTTTCTTTCTTTTTTCCCCTTCCCCTTCCCCCTCCTGGAGCTAAGGGGAGGGGGGCGAAGCCGCAGCGGCTTGACGGCGGAGAAGTTTATGACTTCCAGAGCTCTCCCTGAACCTGTCGGGGGAGTCCCGCTCACTTTCGAGAAAAGGCGGGCTCTCCTTCCACCTGGCTCCGCCCTCTTGTTTACATAGAGAAAATGACGCGTTGCAGAGCGCACGTGGCCAATGCGCCAGCGGTGGGAATCGGCGAGGCCATTGGCCGGCGCGAGGGCTTCCCTGGGAAAGAGAGCGCGCGGCGGACCCGGGGTAGAGAGTGGTGGGAGGGGGTGGGAAAGCACCTGAGGAGAGCGGCCGCCGCCCCCGCCGCCAGGTTCTCCAAAGTTTGCCCTATTAATCCTCGCGACGTATTCATACCGTGTTTCCGTATTACACATTATACTCCGGGCCTTCCACTTCACCTTGCTCTAAAATAGGCAACTGGGCCGCGGGGGCGGCGGCTTCTCCTCCTCCTCCTCCAACTTACAGACAGGACCTCTGCGTGGAAATGTGTTGTTGTGTGCCGGGAAGACTTCAGGCGACCCAAGGTAAGTGCGATATTTAAGGAGTGGTTTTACCAGTTCTACTCCCCCCAGTCAGTTTCCACGGTTAAGCAGGAATTCGAACCCAGGTCTCCTTGGTCCTAGTTTGTTGCGCTATCCATTACACTACATTGGGTATACTACGTGGAAATATTGGAGGGGGGGTGTTAAACACCTGGGGTTTTCTTGTAGCATTATGCTACAAGGCCACCCATGTGCATTATGCATTTTAGGGCCTGGAGAGCAAGGCTGACCCAAGACTTTTTGCTGCTCGAGGCAAAGGATAACTATGACAACATAATCCCTCTGCTTACAGAAAGCAAGTGGACTGGCAGTTGATTCTTACTTCAGCACTGGTGACAAAATAGGTGTTCACTGCCTCTAACCACAGAATCCTATCTTTATTTATTAGCTGAAATTCGGTTGCTTAGTATAGTAAATCACACTAGGGTAGGCCCATTGAGTCAGTGGTGATTTGGTAAGTCCTATTGATTCTAATGGGCCTACTCTCAATGCAACTTACTACACTAAGCAACCAAATTTCAGTTATTTTAAGGGATATAGACAATTCCATCATGTGGTCACAACACACGTTAAGCACTTGAATTATGTTCACATAGCTCTGCACTGCCCCCCAGGGAAATTCCTGTAGACATTCATGGGGGACAGAGACAGGACAGTAGAACCTTCATTGCATCTGAAGGTAACAGGCTAGCTTAGGATCGCTCAGCTGTCCGTGCCACTCCTAGCTGTCTTCCAGCATTGTACTACTGTTGACCCATACTCAGCATCTGTTCCCAGAGATAGCACTCTTTCTACTTGTAAACGAGGCTCCTATAAGAAGCCTAGAACTAGTACAGTGGATCCTTGACTTACAGACGGCTTGACTTACAGACTTTTTGAGTTACAGACTTCTCTGGCTGCAAAATTTAGGTTTGACTTGCAGACTGAGATTTGACTTACAGACCAGAAAAAAACCAAAATGGAACAAAAACGGCCTGTTATGGGATTAATCGGTTTTCAATGCACTGTAGGTCAATGGAGACTTGACTTACAGACTTTTTGACTTGAGAACCGCCTTCCAATATGGATTAAGTTCTCAAGTCAAGACCCCACTGTACTTCCCATTATGGCAGACATCCTAGCTCTAGTAAAAAGGGAAAGAGAGGAAACTTTTTTTGCTTGGTAAACATTCAAGGAAAAGGGGTAAGAAGTATGCCTCTAGCGGGCCTTGCTTACAGCTCCCTTAAATATGATCCCAGCATTGAAAGGAGCAAGACGATTAAAGACTGAAGTTGTCTTCTTCGCTCACACCAAAGAAATTTAGATTGTGGCCACAGGAGCGGAGCATAAGCAGGAAACTCACTATGGCAACAGATGTTTCAAGAGCCACAGCTAAGGAAAGGAGCCATGGAAAAGGTTAAGAAAATGACCATTGTTCTCCCTCAACCTTAGCTGCTGGAACTCCTCCACTCTTAGAAAAATTCTCAGCCTCCTCATATTTTAATTAAATTGTCATGAAAGTTACACAAGTATTTAGCATGAAAAGCAATAGAACAAAGGTGGCTGTGCACCTTTTTGAACTCTGTATTTATTTTTATAGTTTCATCAGCATTCCCCTCCAGTTTTATGAATTCCAAGATGACATTTGTTTTGTTTAATCTGAGGTTGTCCCTTCAGAACAATGTAGCAACCCTAGCCAGAAAGTAGCAAGGTCAGCAATATAATATCCCCTCCTCTTCAAAGCTGTGCCAACACACCCTGATTTATTTTTTTAACCACTGCTTTATTGATTGCAAGAAAACAGATGGCAACCTGTGAGTAATGATTTTGTTTAACATCTCTAATCTTTGGCTTGTCACTTATTATAATTTCCATAATTGCTTTAAAATCTTGCTTCATAGTAATTTCTTGCCAATTGGGTAACAACTATTACGATCTTTTTGACATCCGAATTATTCACTTTAAGGATATGCTGGTTGTACTGAGAATGTAAGACCTGTTTTGGTTTATGAATCAGCATTGCACCCTTCTCACAAAAAGAAGAAAAACAACCTCCATGCCTGTAAATAAAATAAACTGGGTTCTCTATTTCATTAGGAATTCCTAGCCTAGCCTTTGGTCAAAGAGTTAGCATCCTTTCTTTTTCCAGATTTTTGAACTGTAGCTCCAAGATGTTTCAGCCAGCATGTCCAGTTATAAGGGACTGTGAGAGCTGTAGATCAAGTCATCTGAAGAGCCAAAGGTTCCCTAGCCCTGCCTTGGTGAGAGATGTATCATTCTCATGAAATTCAGCATCAAATGACATTCATCAATCCAGTCTCCCCCAATATCAGACCAAGATCTGTCCAATGGAATGTTCTGTTGCCAGCTGGGCTCAGCCGCATGCCTCTGGAAACTCACAAACAGGGTCCAAAGGTAGACCTCTATATCAAATATCAGAAGTAAGCAGCTTCTGTAAATCATGGACCTATTTAGTTGTCATACCTCATTTAAAAAGGAATAACTATTGTCCTTAAATGTTACTGTGACATCTGTCCAGGTCATGAATATTGATATGCTATCTGCATGGACCG